AWAMAMACRMRAAAWRWRAWAWAAAAAAAACATCGTCGAAAATGTTGATGTGGTTCGTCCCAAAAGACAACATAAACCAACGTCAAAAGTGTTGTCTATGGAAAAACGGAAAGCTTCAAAGATAGTATCTCCGAAAACACGACAATCACCAAGAACGAAGATTGATGTCCCAAGCTTTTACCTAAAGATTATACAAGAATGAAACTTACGCTTTTCTAGACTGTTGGAACTTATGCTTCTTTTATAGAATTTTAAGAATGACATTGTTAGTCTACTTTTGGTTTATGCTACTGGTTCGTTTTGATGTTTAAACTTTTAAATTTTTGGTTGAAGGAGTTTGCTGCTGATTTGACGTTGATACCAAGAATGATATTTAAACCTTTTAAGAATGACATTGTTGCTGCTTTTATTTTGATCTTTAAAACTTTAAATAAAACTTAAATGTACTATTGATATATGTATAATATATACTTGATATATCACTGATATATTATTGATATACAGAAAAACCCTAAGTTTCTATTTACCTCTAATTTCTAATTGATTTCTCATTCACAGTAATTTCGAAAATCACCATTGACGTTCACATTTACGTCCTTTCAAGTTTTCTTTCTCATTTTCAGTAAATATCGAATTTTTTTTCTCATTTTTCATGCATGCCAATACCTACTAATTTATAATTGATCAAAAAAAATACAAGACAAAGGATTAAAGCAAGTAAAATAGTGATTTACTATTATACAACTGATATAGAACTGATTGACTTTTGATATACTATTAATTTACTTCTGATATACTAATGTTGTCAAATATACACCTGATATATGTTTGATATATAATAACGAAACAATAACTAAAGAGGGTAATTTGGGAATATTGAAAATTTTAAAATCAGGATTTTCAAAAAACTGCTATATCTGAAAATATCAAAAAGACATGTTATTTTGTTAAATATTGAAAACTTATATGCTACCCATTACAAAACCCCTAATAATTATAATAATAATATCTCAACATTTATTCAAAATCATCCCTAAACTAAAAGTTCCAAAATTTTCTCAATGTAGTAACCGGGAAGAAACTATCTTCCATTGGATTGCTAATGGTAAATTACGCAACTTGTGAATCCATGTTTGGAGTAATATGAAATAGAAAAAGAGATTGATAAGGGCAGCCATTCAAAAGTTGCATATTTTTGTTGTTTTTGAGAAACAATAAGACTGTTTATACACCAAGTGGGAAGCTAAGGATGTTGAAGAAAGTGGTGATAGGTTAATTAAATTCAGTACATGTATGAATATTCTTTTGTACAACATTCAACTGAACACACAAAGCCACAATTTGCATTTTTCAAGATATGCCTTTGATTCTCACCTCTACGGATACGGATGGCAATGCTACGCTCGAATTCTCATCAGATATGCAACTATACATCCCAACAATGCACCAGCAACAACCTGCACCCGAATCATATCATTAAGTTTACAAACACTACCTCGACCAATGCATTTCCCTTTTTGGTTATCTACTATTTGAAAGCTAACATTTGAAAACAAAAATGAGCAGTTTATAAAAAAACTTGTTTCTGTTTTTGAAATTCAATCAAGAATTCATTTAAGATGAAAAATATACTAAAAGAAACGGTAAGAAATCAAGCATGATTTTTTAAAAACAGAAAAATCAAAATGAAATCGTTTTCTGACCGGGTTTTAGCTTTTCAATATACCCTTGCCCATTGAGAATAGCATGAAAGTAAACTTGAAATTTTGGATGAAGTCGTGGTAAAACCTGACATTATAGAATATATATGGAAGTTTGGAAAGAGTCGAGAATACATCAGTAAATAAACACGCCGAGCGAACACAGTTTATAGCATGAGATCAAACTCAAACTCAAATCATCAAATGTTGTAAATACTAAAAAGAATAGACGATGCTTTAAAAAGACATCACGAAAGAACCTGGAGCGGGGTATGGCCAAGCGAATCTCGTAGAGGTCTAACAGTCGAGACAGGGTGCTCGGGAGGAAGTTCGCAAACAATTTGATTTAATAGCTGAAACATATGCAACATATATTGTCAAGTTAGGACAATAGTGATATAAGCAGATATGAGTCAAATAGGAGATGGGTCTCTTTAAAGCCTGTGCTAAACGGCATGATTTCATAAACTGAAAAACCAGGAAAACGTATTATTGCAAGGGGCAATTACTGCTTTGTAAAAGACATGCTGATTTGAAATTTTCCAATATACCATTAGTTTCAAAGATCACTGACAAATAAGAGTGTTTTATGAATCGGTAATCGTACTTCAGCTTGGCGACCAGCATGGAGTCTAACACCAGTAGCATCATACATCACCTGTCAATAGTGTTATAGCTCATCATTAGTACAGGGAGCAGAAGAAAAACAATTGGAATATGTCAGGTAAAAATTAGAAAGAGCCATCTCCTGTCATTTCTGATTATTTGTTACCAGTGTTGGAAATGTTGGAGTAAGAACTAAGAACAGGAAATGAGGTAGAATAATAACATTGACCGGCGCTTCTTATATCGAGACATCCAGTTTTACTTGGATTTAATAGCACAATTCATCCGTATTAGGAAGGATTACCGTCCAAAAGTTCATTTTTGTCAATACAGTAGCAAGGTCTAACTACTGTCATTAAGACTCTGAAACAGGAATGCCATGAATTACAGAATAGTGAGGCAACAATGACGGTATTGAGGTAAATCTAGTCCAATATTATTCTCAAAAACCTGTTACCTTCAAAAACAAAAAATGTTCCTCTCAACCAAATTCCTCTACTATGGACATTAAACCACCAATGCCAAGCCTTATTTTCCCTCCTTGCACTAAGCAATTTTCATAGAGGATCATGCAAATAGGGTGGAGGTGCTCACTGAAATAACCAACCACGTGCGCCAAATGAGAATACTGATTGAACTAGTGCTCTAAATCCTCATTTGTTCCTAAAAAAAAAGATGCAGAATTGAAGATGAAGGCAATAAAAAATGCTATCCAAATGTGATCATTTGTATTTACATTTTTATGATCTGGATACCACATAGATCATGGTAACTTTCTTGGAACTTTGGTTTTTGGAATGATTCTTAGAGGAATGGTCTTAGTGCAGAAGGATGCTTCTGATCCGGTCTTCCATATTAGTAGTTTCAATTCAGATTTCGAAAGGAATTTTGATTGCCTTTATAATGATCCAAGTAAAATAAGTTTTTGTTATCTTTCTTCAAGTGGAAATTCCTCTTTCTACATTGCTGCATTTTGGAAGCATCATTGGACCTGTTAGATATTATTGAGGACCTTTCTAGCTTTTCTGAACTTGCAGCAGGTTCCTTGTCTGAGTAGGGGTTTGTTTTCAATATTTTCACGTTCGTGCAGCCTCTTTAGCTGGATTGTTATGGTTCTCTTCCAATTTTCGTCCTGTGGGTAGTGGGGTTTGGGCGCTGATTATGCATTCCTTTCGTCTAGCTTCGGTGCCTCTTCGGTGTTGTGGATTTGCTTATGGGATTTTTGTGTTTGTTTCTCCACGGGGTTCTTTGTTCTTACTTGTTTTATTTGGATTCTTGTATTTTTGACAGTTCCTTTCTTTTTCGGTTTGGTTGCTTTTCACTCACTATGGTGGTTTGTCTTTTCACATCAATGAGAAGTTTGCATATTGTTTGGAAAAAAAAAGTACAGAAGGATGCTTCCCTAAGAATTAAAAACAAGAGCCAACCACGTCAAAAAAAATATATATATATATAAAACAAAACAAAACAAAAAACAAAAAACAAAAAAACAAGAAGCAACAATGCGTTGATGGATTTTCGAGTTGATAAAGAGAAAACATATCTTGAACTTCTGTTAATGAAGATTCCTTCCAGAATTGAAAATAAAATAAAGGTAAAGAGGGCAATTATGGACAAGCAATACCATATCAGTCATTGATTCTATTTGCTTTGACAGTTTAAGGGATTCTAAGTAAGCAATATCAAAGATTCAAAATCACCCGCTCATTAATTTATGGCAACGAGAATTTCGATCAACATGTTGATATTTCCAATTTTCCACTAATATCTATCAAAATCACCGATTCAAAACTTCATTGAAGGTGCTTCATCTTAATTTCCAGGTTATGTTGTAGATATTAAATCTACATAATTATTGCTGCCATGCACAGACAGATATAAAATACCATGTAATTCCCAAGATTAAATCCGGGTATCATGGCAATTTTTTAATTTGAATTTCATAAAATGTACGAGACATCGTCTTCTGAATTATCTGTTTTAAGCTCTTGAAGGAGACAGAAAACAATTGATGAAATTTTGGACATATAAAGGTTTCACATAAGTTCCATAACACGAAGAGATTCATGATTGTAGATATTCATTCTTTGAGTACAATGTTTGAGATTATTAAACAAAAAACAGCAATAGAGGACATCATTATAAAAGTTTAACTCTAGATAAGTAATAAAATTCACAAAAAAATAATGAACAAGACCTGGCAGTTAAGTACGTACAACGCATGCCAGAACCAAAGCAAGTGCAAAAGCTGGTCCCCCAGTTCCTTCTTGCAAGCCAATAGCTACAGCTAGAGATGCTACAGTGGCCGAATGAGATGAGGGCATTCCACCAGACCCCAGCATCCTTTTGGAATCCCATTTCTTCTCTTTGAACCTGCACAATCCACTATTTTGTCAGTTAACCAAGAAAGACCTAGGATTTAGTTAACTTTTTTTTTATAAGAAACAACACTTTCATCAGATACAAGAACAACAAAGGGCATACAAAAAAACAGCTTTGAAAGAGGATGCCCCCTAAAGAAAAGGACTCCAATCCAAAAGAATAAGGCCTAGCGTATAATTACAAAAGGGCTTAGAAACCGAGCCCCATAACGAAATGTTAAATCTAACGATATCCCAAACATAGTCCACAAACTTTTCCACCCCCTAAACAATCTATGATTCCTTCCTAGCCAAATACCCCATAAAGTAGCTAGAAAGCAAGCCTGCCACAAAAAACGACCCCTATCACGAAAAGGGGGTATAAAAGCACCTCCTCCATCATAGCCCTACAATCCCTAGCACGAACCGAGAACATCCCAAAACATATAAAGAAACAACGCCAAAGACCCTGAGCAAACTGACAAGTCCACAACAATTGATCAAGGTCTTCCGAGGCACTCTTACAGAGAACGCACCACTGCCGGATCCAAACAAAAGGAAGACATCCTCTAGATACGATCCAAGGTATTGACTTTCCCAAGGACTTGCCACCCAAAGAACTTGATCTTCTTAGGAACTTTAATCTTCCAAAGAGAGGTAAACCAAGGGGTCGGAGGGTGAGAAGAAAGAAGAAGAAGAAGAAGGGGGAGCTCAAAATATGGTAATAAGAACTACAAGAAAAACCCTTTGACAGGCTGGGGGTCCAAACCCTCACATCCTCCCTCCCAGGGAAAAAAGACACCTCAGATACCATAACAAGCAAAGCGGACACCTCTAAGGTTTCCCGGTCCGTTAAGCCACGAGTAGAGCCCAAAAAAATAGAAGGAACCTCCCCTGGGGATTCAAAATCTCGAACACGGAATGAAGCCTCTTATCAGAAAGATGGTAGAGCCGAGGTAAAGCAATACAAAAAGGTTATCTCCTACTTGGGTATCCTCCCAGATTATAATTGCTCACCTTAGACCCACTTGCCAGAACCCAATCAAACGGATGCGGCTCATACTTGCTCACAATAATCCGTCACCACAGGACGTTAGAATCATGGAGGAAACACCACAACCATTTAACCAAGAGGGCCTCGTTCCTAAGCCTTAAGTTCCCAATACCCAAACCTCCCACTTCCACAGGCTTAGTAACCTCTTTCCAACTAACCAGATGAGCGCCATCCCCCTCTCCCACTCCTTCCCAAAGAAAATCCCTCATGATTTTTAACCACCTCTCCCACTCCTTCCCAAAGAAAATCCCTCATGATTTTTAACCACTGGGATCATGAGATCTTGAAGAGGGAAAGATAATAAGTCGGGATACCCCTCAAGACCCCTCTCTCCACTCCAACCAGGGAAGACCAAAATTATCTCCACTCTTGGGATCACGCACCCCTCAAGACCCCTCAAGAAAATAGTGTCGTCTGCAAACTGGAGATGAGATAGGCGAAAATTCTCCTTTCCCACTTCAAAGGCTTCCAAGGCCCCTTTCTCCACTCCAACGGAAATTAATCTGCTAATAATGTCTACGACCAATATAAAAAGGAAAGGAGATAGATGGTCACATTGCCGAAGGCCTCTTGAGGCGATAATTTTTCCCCTAGGTCTCCCGCTCACAAGGATAGAGTAAATAATAAAGCAAGAAAAAGCATACAATGATAATGATGTGATGGATTTTAATATTTGTTCAAATCAGTATGCCTGATGAATAAGTAATACCAACAAAAGATTTTAAATCTGATAATGAAGAGTGCTACATAGACACAACCTAAAAATTGGTTTAGAAACAAGCATATATGTATAGCACTAGAAACA